AAATGATATCCCAATATGGCATGCTTATAATCAAATCGAGCGTCTCGACGAGACGAATCCAACGAACCCCGTTTGTACAGGTAGACTGTCGTGCACTACTCGTTGTTTTATGCAAGTGGATTGTAGTGCACTAACGAATCTCCTACCTTTCGATTTGTTGATGCTTGCATTCATTATAGTTCTTTGGCATTTATTCATAGATAGTATGCAATATTTGTAGCGGGGGCTCCAATAGAAGCTCATGGGATCTTGTATCTGTCGTATTCTTCATGCACTTTGTTGTGGTCTTTAGCTCATATAGTACATCCGTCACTGTTACAAGTAGGCAGGTAGATGTATTTTCACAGATTAGAATTGACTTCAGGATACTGCATTTACTGAAGTCTTTCTGCATCTTCCCATAAGTGGCATGTGGCACATACATCTATCTTTGCAAAGAGCTTATATGTATTGCAGATCTTCTGTTGTATATAAGGGCTTTTGCATTTATCACAATTCTTCTATATTTATTTGTAGATACTCATTATACATTTATTCTTCAAGAACAAGTTATTACCTTTACACGAATATCAAATGCATTTGTTGTCTTTTGCATGTCATGGATATTCTACTTGCTTGCTGGCATTGGATTAAAAATCTGGAACATCGTCATTCCAGATTTTTTATTTTTGAACTTGTTGTGCAATCACCAACTCAAGGGTCCAAAGCCCTCATATCATGGCTTCATAATCAAGCCTTACTTTTCACAATCTTCTGGCTCCTTGCAAATGAGTCACGCTTGGAAATTCTTTATTTTCAAAGATAATTTGTAATTTGCATGAAGAGCTTGATTTCATGCTCTTTAATATTTTCATTCCCAATTGAAATGATCACTACAACTTGATAGTTATTGCCTGAAGCTTCATGACAAAGTTTTGCAAATCATTTACCATACTCCAAAGTTCTCATGTGATAGTTTTGCAACCAAACCATATCCTTCACAATTCTCTTTTTATGTGCTCATTGATATCTCCATTTCAATTGAGATGACAACTGCAAAATTTTTGTTTTCCAAAAATCTCATGTTGGAGCATATGATTAATTAATACATGAATCTTTGATTTTATCATTCACAAAATTCATGATGATTTTAACTATTATGCTTTAATCCAAGTTAAATTAAAGTCAATTATTTAATGTTCATTTGAGTCCAATCCTCAAGTTTCAAAATTTTTTATATTTGGTTCACTTGATGTTCCAATCAAATTTGGCCCCAATTCATGTTCTTGCTTGAGTTCAAGTATCAAGCTCAAGTTATATGTCACATGTAGCCTTTGCAAGTTCAAGTTTGAGTCCTGGTAGTCATGTTTTGCAAGTCCAAGTTTGAGTTCAAGTTCAATGCAATCCCAAATTGAGTCCTCTTGCACTTTATTCCAATGTTCATTTTTTTAATGTTCATTTGATTAAGTTTGATTTTATGCTCAAGTTATGGATCAAATCAAGCTCCAAATTTTGTCCAAGTCTTTGGATCTTCGATCCAAATTTCGGCAGCCTCCCGGCATCTCCCCCGTTTAGGGGAAAAACCAAGAGGCCGCCTACCCGCCACGTCAACAAAGACGTGCACGGTTGGTGTTTGTGAGACACCGCGGTGATATTTTTGTTTTTCATCCACCACGCCAACAAAGGCGTGCATGGGTTTTAAAAAGCATTTTTATGAAAAAGGCATTTTGCTTTCCCCCCCACTCGGGGGTACTTATGAGTGACCCCGCCTCGCCGTAGATGCCGCACCGGGGTCCCATCCCACCACGCGCAACAAAGGCGTGCATGGACGGTTTTCCGGTGTGCCACGAACTCCGAAATGGGCTCTCGAGGTTTTGAGTTTAGGAAATTTATAGCTTTGCAACAAAGTGACGACGAAGGCAATGACAATAATGCATACAAAAAGTTCTATTTTTTTTAATATCATTCTTTTTTGTTTTCTTTGCTTCAATTTGATCATCTGAAGAAAAATCTTCTAAACCCATAAGCCTGGCGCTTAAATTTTGAGCTTTCAACTTCTTTTTCTAAGCAGAAAATTCACTGTTATATCTGCTTAAATCAATGGAGTTTTGTTCAGCAAATTCTTCTCTTTCACTTTACCTTGTTTTCTCATTAGCATTCTGCTTAAGGCGATTTGAAGCCTTGGAAGCATTAATAGTGATTCCTAGAGCTCCATTGTTCCTTTACTGCATATCTTTTATTGGTTGACAGCTAATTTCCAAGTCATTAAAGGCTCTTGAAGCTTCATAGAGGACATGACCTCATTCTGATCGCAAACTATCCAGCCTTTTTGCAGTGATCTCTTTGCCTGTTTAACCTCCCATAACTCTGGAAATTTCGCTAACTCCATTCTCTTGGTCGGGTAAACATGCCTCATCAAATGCATGGCTTGCGGCTCCTCCCTTACGTAATCAACAAGGCTGTAGGCATCCGAGGTAGAGTGAGGTCTGACTTCTGAAGGTGGAGATCAGAAGAGAGACGGACCAGGCTTTTGGCGTAGAAGGTGCTTGAGCAGGAGAGTGGAATAGTTTGGTTTACAGAGGAGGCGGGTTTTGAAGATACAGGGAGGTGAAGGTAGTACAGCTCCACACAGTAACTTGAATACAAGTTTGGCGTGGAGCTGAGAAGGTTGCTGTGGGTATTTGGAGTTTGAGACAACAGAGGGAAGCAACTGGAGGAGAGCTGCTGGAGGAGACGAGTTATTGGGATAGAAGTTTGGTCGTGGCTTTGGAATTAATGGCTGGGTTGGGAGGTTGGGGAGGAATGCCAAGCAAGGGATCAGCAAGGTTATCTGACCCAATAAAAATTCCCCTCAACGCCTTAATTTTGAAATGACAGGACTGCATTAGCAAAGTTAAATTGCCTTGATTAGCGTGCAATTTTCTTGGTTTGCGTGCTTCGCTTAACGTGTCGATCTCATCGAATATCAAAATTGGATAAATTGATAATGCATTTAGGGTATTGCCGACGTCCCGGTCGCAACGGTGCTGTCCGTCTTGCGATCGGACGTCATTTGAGCATCGCCGAGATCTCATTTTCCTCAAAATGTCGCTGCATCTTTCTATGATGCAGCTGCGGAGTCCGTTGACTTCACCCACCAGGTAAAACAAGTTCTTCCCTTTCTAAACCAATTTAATTGAGTTTTTAATACTGTTATACTCTTAAATCTAGATCTGTTGTTTTTTATACGAACTATTTTAAGAGCCGAAGGAAGGGAAAAAAGAAATCAAAATTTAAGCAAAACCTTCACTGAGGCGTAGGAGCTAAGTAGCAGGCAACGGTCCTCGATTTAGTAAGCAGAGCAAGAAGTGAGATGGGATTTTGAAATGGTTCTTTTGAAGTTTTATTTTGAAGGTGTGCCTAGCGTGTAAATAGCGTTTTGTTCAGTCTTAGCGGCGGTTGGGCTATTAGGGCATCTCCAACCTAAAATCTCAATTTTCACTCCAAAATATAGTGAAACCAAAAAGTGCTGTTATTCATCTCCAATCGGATCGAAAGCCATTTTGCCCTCTAACTGTTGCTCGCGCCTTTCTTCCCCAAGTTTGGTAGAGACCAAAAAATGGCTCAGATGAACAGTGCAACGCCAATATTGACATCGCACTGTCTATCCGCGATCAAATGGCAGAGGAAAAGACGTTTGATTGCGACGGTTGAGATTGGAGATGGTCTAAACCTCTTGTGATAAGATAGATCATTTTTTTTAAGAAATAAAATTTAATTCCTCTATTCTGGGTAGAGCTTAGTAGTCATCAACTTAAGAAAAAATGCCTCCATATGATGAACAAATATAGGTTTGATTTTGAAATTAGTTCCAGAAACTAAGTGCTTTATGAAGATATTATCTTAACTTGAAAGATGAATATAATATTTGCATGCTCAATAATAAAAATATTTGTTTTTCACAGGAGCAAGCCTATACAATTAATGACATCTTAAGAGAATTTATTCCTACTCAATTAAAATAGTGATAAATATTTTATTATTTCTCAAAGCTTGATAAAGGGATGTGAATATCGGAATTTGAATATGAAGATCGACCAAACTTGTGGAATTAATTTTTTTTTATATGAAAATTAAAGGAGAAAAATTGTGTCAGGATATCCTGAGAGATTTCTCTTTATGATGGGCCTACCTAGACTACCTACTCTTGGATTTGAGCGGTGATTAATGCCACATCTAATATCTATGAATTGCATTAATTTTAATGCAAATTTAAGGGCAACTAGGCCTAATCTGACAGAAAATTTCATTTTGAATATCCTACATGAGGCTCTATATTATTTTATTTTATTTTTTTACTTCGGTATGAAAATTAAGCTCGATTATTAATTTTAGGTTATTAATATTCAAAGTTGTTCAAAAGGAAACCAAGGCTTACATACTGTTGGGTTTTGAATAGATTTGTGAAGTTTAAAAGTACCTTTGATTATTAATCAAATAAATCAATGATGGATCTAATAATCTTATTACTTTAAAACTTATATCAAATAAATTCTTGATGTTAAATCATGAAAATTTTCTGTATTTGCTTCTACCGCATATCTACTGGTATCTCATTGGACTTATGTTTTTTTATACTCCAAAAAATGCTTTATACAAACCTAAAAGTTCAAAGAGCTTTGAAATTGGTTCAAATGCTTTAATTTAAACAAAAAAATCTAACTTTTACTTTAAAAAAATATTTATAAGTGAAATCTCATATTTTTCTACGTAGGTAAATCATGTTGGAAGATACATAAGAGTTCAAACACCATATATTATGTTGATTGATTTTATATGATACAGCAATTATCACATTGAGCAGCTGTGTGATCAATATAATGTTGGGGGAAGTAAAACCACGTAGTGAAATAGGCAAGAAATAGAAAATGCAGTGAAGGAGTGATCATCGGGATTTAATGTGGAAAAGAAAGAACACCAAGATTTAACATGAAAAAACTAGAAACCTGGAAAAGAATCACAGAGTCACACCACACCAATAAATTGACTAAGAAAATTGAGGAGAATTAGTAAAAATCACTCATCTCTCTTTGTAGGCTCCGAAAATTCGGCCCCGGCCTCCCCGCCGCGCTTGATTGCATTTTCTTAGGCGAGGGGAGTTTTAATGAAATTAGTTCCAAGGTAAATTTTGGAAGGAATAAGTTATTAAAATAAAACTTAAATTTTGAATTTTCGTTGGAAATCCGCCGGAAATTCCGCCGGAAATGCATACGAAAAAAATCCGTCGGAAAGAGAATCGAGAAATATGTCGGAAACTCGGTGAAAATTTTCCGTCGGAAAATCGCCGGAAAATCCGTCGGAATTTGTGACGAATTTAATTCCGCCGGAAATTCCGCCGGTAATCGCGTGTTTTCCCGTAGTGGTTAGAGAATTAGAAGTTCAATGTTTGGATATTTAAAATAGAAATTTTCACCATCTAGCACTTAAAGCGGATGGTGGGGAAATGGATGATAGACCCGATCAAGATCCCATGGTTCCGTCGTCCCGGGCCATCGTTGTCCCTGGTATGCTTAGTCAGAGGAGGTAGTCGACCCAACCTGACAGAAGGATCCTTGTCGGCAGCCATGAGTTGCTTCGTCCAAGGGTACCTTGTAGACCTAGGATGTGTATTTGCCTAAGGGGACAAATTGAAATCCACCTTAACTATCAGAGGGCTTTGTACCCTATCGATCATATCTTATTGATTCATAGCTTAAGGATTTGATGCTAATTAGGAACATATAGGCGTTGGCCATAACCGGTATTTTGCGGTGCCATTTGGAGGCAAAACCACTCGGTTCAGAGGGCCTAGGGTAATAACAGTTTATCCTGCGGTGCCATTTGGCGGCAAAACTGCTGGTTAGAGGACACGTACCACGTCCTTACTGGCAGGAGTTTGTTTGAGAATAGATCCTAGTAATATGTTCGACTAGGCATTTGGCTCTTTGTGAGCTGCAGTATTTTCAATTTGTCCACCCCGATAAATTATTATGGAGGGTGATTGAATTTTGCTTTAAGTTATTTGAATGGTTGAAATTTGATTTTTAATATCTTTTTTTTTTGGACTTTGAGATTTTTGGATTTTGATAGGCACTTAGATATTTGGGAGACATTTAAAAATGTTTGGGAACCCCTCCGGTTAAGATATACATTCAACACGGCCATCATCGGGGTGTTTGAGGTCATTTTCATTTGAAAATATTTTCCATCTTATGGATGAACCTTGTCAACTCTATTGAGCTGTCAATAAATGATCGGGTTTCTTGTGGTTCATGCATTTTATTAGTGAATTCTCTTGATTGTAGACCTTGAAGGCCTAATATGATTGTATTAAAACAAATACACCGGTCGTCACAACCGTGTATTTGTTTGAAGGTTCGAACCCTGTCGATTCCTATTGATCCATATAGAAGGATCGAGTTCGAACAAGAATTCACTTATTAACCCACATAGCATCCCTAGACGTCACGTGTGTACTAATAACACGCTCGTCGGGGCCCATGCTGGTGTTTGGGGGGATTTTATAATTATACCCTGTCTACTCCTTTTTACCTGATTAGGAGGATCGGGTTCAAATTTGATAACCCGCGCAACATCCCTAGACGTTACGTGTGTACCAATAACACCCTTGTCGGGGCCCATGCGGGTTCTTGATTGTTTTTACCCCTTTAGTGTATATATGTGTATACAAACTACTGTGCTCGTGCGGGGGTATTTTGAAAGCATTTGTAGGGGCCTTCTGTCCGCTTGCATAGAAGTTGCGAACCTGGTGGCGTGACGTTGTAAATCGTAGACGCCTTCTGTTTGCTTGTATAAGTGTTGCAGATCTGGTGATGTGGCGTAGCAGCTTCTGAATAAAGTTGTTCGCTGTTTTGTACAGGTAGACTGTCGTGCACTACTCGTTGTTTTATGCAAGTGGATTGTAGTGCACTAACGAATCTCCTACCTTTCGATTTGTTGATGCTTGCATTCATTATAGTTCTTTGGCATTTATTCATAGATAGTATGCAATATTTGTAGCGGGGGCTCCAATAGAAGCTCATGGGATCTTGTATCTGTCGTATTCTTCATGCACTTTGTTGTGGTCTTTAGCTCATATAGTACATCCGTCACTGTTACAAGTAGGCAGGTAGATGTATTTTCACAGATTAGAATTGACTTCAGGATACTGCATTTACTGAAGTCTTTCTGCATCTTCCCATAAGTGGCATGTGGCACATACATCTATCTTTGCAAAGAGCTTATATGTATTGCAGATCTTCTGTTGTATATAAGGGCTTTTGCATTTATCACAATTCTTCTATATTTATTTGTAGATACCCATTATACATTTATTCTTCAAGAACAAGTTATTACCTTTACACGAATATCAAATGCATTTGTTGTCTTTTGCATGTCATGGATATTCTACTTGCTTGCTGGCATTGGATTAAAAATCTGGAACATCGTCATTCCAGATTTTTTATTTTTGAACTTGTTGTGCAATCACCAACTCAAGGGTCCAAAGCCCTCATATCATGGCTTCATAATCAAGCCTTACTTTTCACAATCTTCTGGCTCCTTGCAAATGAGTCACGCTTGGAAATTCTTTATTTTCAAAGATAATTTGTAATTTGCATGAAAAGCTTGATTTCATGCTCTTCAATATTTTCATTCCCAATTGAAATGATCACTACAACTTGATAGTTATTGCCTGAAGCTTCATGACAAAGTTTATGGGTGGTTTGAAAGGGAAGAACTTGTTCGTGAAAAACAACATGGCAAGATATGTGGATTTTATGGGTGGAAAGGTTGTAGCAATGGTAGCCTTTGTGAGATGACGAGTATCCGAGGAATAAGCATTCCTGAGATTGGGGTTGGAGTTTGTTTGAGGTTAGAGAGTGTAACCACGGGAAGCACAGGCAACCAAATTTTTTGAGGTGGTCGTAGGAGGGTAGGTGGCCATGGAGACGGTGAAATGGAATTTGATAGTTGTTGACACTGGTGGGGAGACCATTAATTAGATAATTTGAAGTGGTTAGAGCTTCGGCCCAAAAGGTAGATGGTAGGTAAGCAGCTTGAAGAAGTGTGCGGGTTGTTTCAATGAGGTGGCGATTTTTGTGTTCGGGTAATCCGTTTTGCT